TTGTGATGAAATGCCCACTGAATAAGCTATCTTCTCATTACTTAGCTAATACTTCTGTCAAAAGATTGAAAAACTAATCACAGGCTTAGCTTCATGGGCTTATTTAGTGAGCCAGGATGTATTCATTTTTGCCTAGTAAATAAGGCCATTAAAAATTTTTAATAAACACAGATGGGATTTATTAAGGGAAAGAATGGGATTTACTTATAGTCAGCTAGTTTTTTGTTGATGGCATATGCTTGATCTTCTGGTTCTTTAGTTTCCCAGCCACAAAAATTACTCAGGGACTAGGAWTTGTCCTCAGTTGTAGAAATCTGCCATGTTAACTTACCATTTTACATTCTGTAATCATTCATTTGATTAATTTCCCAAAATAGAATTTTGTAAAATTAGAATATCCATTGACAGGGGCTGGAGTTGTAGCTCAGTGGTAGAATGCTTGCCTGGCATGCATGAGGCACTGGGTTTGATCCTCAGCACTCTTAAAAAAGAAAGATGCTACCTAAGTACAGGGTATGAGGAGCCTTGATTCAAAAGATAAGTATTGTTGCCTTATAAATTATGTACATATATGTGAAGGATAGTTTTGTCTAGTGTTGATTTTTCTGGACAAAATATTGATAGTTTAATTCCTGAAAACAAAATTACGTTTTTGAAAGTTTATAGAAAAACATTATGGGAAGGGAAATTGCCCAAGTCAAAATTCAGCTTCCAGTAAGCATAGGGTTGAGAGAGAGTATACAGAAAAGCACACCATTCTAACTTTTGCATAAGAAAAGAAGTCTCCAGAGAAATTACCTGAGAAAAGTGACAAAGGAATTTCGAATATAAAAACAAGCTAATAATGGTGTTTAAAGGCTTGTTGTTAGACTTTAGATTCTTTGTAGTACTTTTTAAAAATTTCTACTCATGATGAACATGCCTAAAAAGTCTTAATCTTATGCATATGTGATGTTCAATTTACAGTTTCCTACTGCATTTGAATTCAATGAATATTTTCTCATTACCATTTTGGACCACCTATACAGCTGCTTGTTTGGAACATTCCTTTGTAATAGTGAACAGCAGAGAGGAAAAGAGGTAAAATATGAGCTGAGCTGTGGCCCACCCTTCCTTGCATTATCCCTATCTGTACTTTTCCCTACAAAAATGATTGATAGCAACCAAGCAGGGTTTTTTCTTTTTTTGAATATTACCTTTTGGTCATATTTTTATCTTGTAAGCAATAATGTAATAATTACTTTCTCCCACATATGTGGCCCTGGTCTATTTTGAAATACCCAGCACAAGGCTGATGGTGCTAGCTGTGGAAAGTAGTGTCTGCTAAAGAGAACTGAAGTATATGGGACTCTGAGGAGCATGAGTGTTCCCATTATTCCACATAGGATGGAAATCTTTCAAAGCAGGTGTAGAAAAATATAAATTAGCAGAAAGCACACCTTTGAATGGGTAGCTCAAATCCCAACATAAATTTTCATTCGAAAAAAATTTATAGAGTAGCTTCTTATTCTTTAGAAAGTATACCAGGGAAGATAGCTTTTAAAGCTCAGTTACTTGGTTGAGATCTTTGGATCTGTCACTTACATGAATAACCTTGGGCAACTTAATCTCTGCTTTTGTAAAATAGGGTTGTGTACTTATACCACAAAGAATGCTATGGATTTAAGCGTGTCTTAGACTAAAGGACTATTTGCATACCATAGAATCCCACTTAAAAAAAAAAAAAACCGTATATAGCAATGGTTGTATAATACCATCATTTATTTCAGGATGTTTTCATCATCCCAAGTTAAGTCCCATACCTGATAGTAGTCAATCCCCTTTCTCCCACTTCTGGCAAATACTAACCTATTTTCTTCCTCTGATTTCTCTCTTCTGRACTTCTTTTTGATGCTGGGGTTAAGTGGTATTACATATCAGCCACTTTTTTTTTTGAGGCAGGGTCTTGCTAAGTTGCTGAGGTTGTTCTYGAATGTGTGACCCTCCTGCCTCAGCTTCTTCAGTCACTGGGTTTATAGGCAATGTGCTTCCATACCTGGCCGTACATTTTTTTTTWATTTAATCACTATGTGATCTTCTCAGTGTTAAATGTTTTCAAGGTTCATCTTCATTTTAGAGTGTAATTTCTTCTTAGTACTATATATACTCATGAGTTGTTAGGATTTTGGGGTTGTTTTTTATCTTTTGGCTATTATGAATACTGTTGCTTTTAACATCTGGGACAAAGTTTTTGAATGGACTAGTGCAATTCTTTGAGGAACTGCAGACTTTTTTTTATAATAGACTCATTTACATTAAAATCAAAGTGTTTAAGTCCACCCCCCTCCTTTTGTAGTCATTAAAAAGGTTTTTCAAACCAAATACGTGGGGGCATTGGAAATGGCAGTGAAAGATGTCACCGAGTTAATCTCCATTGAGAAAAAAGGTTTTTTAATGACTACAAAATATATCTTTACAAATTTCATCCAAAGCATAAATAGCTTATGTGAATGTTTACCTATTTTTCCTGATAGAATCTTCCTAAGAGGACTGTGTCACTGTGGTCTTACATAAATAGCCAGCTGGAAGACTTCACTAATCCTCTCTATGGGAGTTATTGCAATCATGTCCTTTATCCAGTAGCCAGCATGCGCCACCTAGAGCTCTGGGTGGGATATTACATAAGATGGAATCCACGGATGAAACCACAGGTATGATAAAAATGATGGGATTTTTCATCTGCACAATGTAATTCTATTAGATGTGTCCCCTTTAATTCTATATTTTTAGTTGAAATATTATCTGTGCATACTTATAACTTTCAACTATATCCATTGATAGTTATAAATGTGTATTGGAAAGAGTCCCATACTGGATAGTCAGTATACCTGTTTCTCATTTTGACTTTGGACAAATCATTTCTCTTTTTGTCTTTTTTGTCCTGTTTAATATGTTGTTGAAAACAGCTTTAGGAAAGTTAAAAGCCTAAGAAAATTCTGTTTCATAGTGAATATATTATTGAGTATTTACTATTAGGACTGAAAACCTACAATTAAATGATAGGAATCTTTTGACTACTAGGTTCTAATTGTCGATGTACCGGTTCTAGGAGCATCTCCACAGCAGGTATTGTCTGGAAATACTGCCATTTCCAATGCCCTCAAGTGAAAGATTTAGTAGTCACAGTAGTCCCTGAATTTAATCTCCAGTGATGGATAGAAAAGGTGGGACTGGTTTGGACTGGTTCCAGTTGCTAAAAACAGTGTAACATTCATGTGACCCTAGGTTTGACTAGGATTGCCTAGTTGAATAATTTTATGTTTTGCTCTTGTAGGAACCTATTCACAATAGATACAAAGAACTTCTTGCTAAACGAGCAGAGCTTCAGAAAAAAGTAGAGGAACTACAGAGAGAAATTTCCAACCGATCAACCTCATCCTCAGAGAGAGCCAGCTCTCCTGCACAATGTGTCACTCCTGTCCAGACTGTTGTGTGAAAGGATTGTGACTAAGGACATCATTGATATGAACTCTTCATTACAGTGGCAGCTTTATGAGTAGAAAGTCTCCCTATTTTGAACCCATCTCTGAGAGAAAAGTTCAGATGCTTTATTTATTTTAAGTCTCTCTAAGATGAGTTTAGAACTATAGCAATGTGGGTGGCTTAAGAGAAACAATTCCACATGTAATTACATGATTATGACACTAAACCTGTTCAGACATCTGGTAAAAGTATAAACTACTTTAGAAATACACCTCTTGATTGGAGAAAGCTCACTGCACAGAGGAACAAGTTTTCAAACCAAATCAACACTGAAGTTCTGTGGCATCATCTATTTTAGGCCTTTATGTATGACAGATCAAAATCATTTAATACCTTTTTCTCCATCATGGGCTTTTCTTCATGTAGTAATTGATTTACATTGATCACTGTTCAACCTCCATTCTTAATATAGTGAAAGGCAAAGCATAGTGTGGCAGTAGTTAAAAATTGCTGCTGACATTATTTACATACTTAATTAGGGCATTCTRCTGTTCCAGAATGATGCCTTAGAAATATGCTTAGGGGACCATAAGGAGACAAAGTGGTAGCCATTTTGGAGTTCAAAGAATTCTATGACATTCAGATTAATTTTCATTTTTTTCCAATTAAAAAAAAAATTTACCCCTTTCTGTTTTGCTTAATGCTAATTGGCAAGTTTTAAAGTTTTTAAAAGGCTTTTTTGAAGACTGTATAAATAGCATATGGTGAGAAGTATAATGCTTAAATTTTACATGAAATTAAGCCTACCAAAGAACACACCACATTTAAAAATGAATTACAATCTCAATACCAGTAAAAGAAACCTTGCTTCACTGCTTGCCTGAGACTTTGGTGCTGGTATGGACATTTCACTGTCTGATGTCTATTTTACTCTATATGAGAGCCATATGTAATGTACTGTAACTAAGAAGCTTCTTGTCCCTTGGTCTTTTAATTAAAAGAAATTTCAGCTAATTTTAAAACTTTGTTCTTGTCTAAAGTTATACACGCTTGTGCGTGTGCGCACACACAGAACTATTTCTTGGAATTTTTTTTCTGTAGAGCGCTCACCTGGCAGGATCCTCAGCACCACATATAAACTATTTTTATCAGTACATTCAATATTACCCAAATCGGGATCCACTAATTTTATCATGTGAAATCTGTTACAAGAAAAATTTAACAGGTGTTTAAATGGCTAGTCAGTATTAAAGCTAATAATAGAYATTCTAAATTTGATAAATCTATTTTCTCTTACTTCCCTCACTTAAGCTTTATCATCTTGGTCTGATAAAACATAATGTACTCATATTTACCAAGAGAAATTAAGTATAAAAAATTCTGTTTGCTAGGCATGGGGGCGCACACTTGTAATCCCAGCAGCCTGGGAGACTAGGCAGGTAGATCCAGAGTTCAAAGCAGCCTCAGCAAAAGCAAGGCACTAAGCAACTCAGTGAGACCCTGTTTCATTTAAATAAAATACAAAATAGGGCTGGGGATGTGGCTCAGTGTGAGTGCCTCTGAGTTCAATCTCCAGTATCCAAAAAATAAAGTCTTGTGTTCAAAACATTTCGGTGGTTTCCCTCACCCTCTACAGCAATCTCCAACCTGGAGTTTATGTGCCTGAGAAGAAGACAAAGAAGAGAGCTAAAAATACATACTTGTCTATACAAAAATATATAATAATATTTCATGGGCATTTGTTTGTTTTATGACTTTATATGTCTATGAATGAATATTAGTTGTATGGGTATACGTTTTCCTTTATGATCAGGAATGCAAAATTTAGACACCAGTATGATCAAGTTGAAGCTCTAGCCTCCTTAGACTCTGCCTACCCCTCTATTCTCATCTGCGTTCCTTTTATATACCAATATTAGTCTACTTATTCACAATTCTCCCATGTAAACCTCATATTCCTACCTGCCGCTTTTGTTTTTCTATCTTACTGACCTAGACCAACTGTTATCTCATCTCTTGTGACTCAGTCCTGTTTCTAGAAGTTATCTTTTCCTCCAGCAAGTTACTTCCATTCATCACACCTTCTCTGTCATGATCCTCCATGGCACTGTGTACCTGCCTGTTAACCACTGCATTCACTACACTGTATTCAGAAAAACAACTTGGATATCTGCCACCAGCCTRTAAAGACATCTTGATTACTCAGTTTGGTATCCTTGTTGGCACTGTAGACACAGAAGATAGTTAAGTTTGAAATGCACTGTAATAAAGCGCTAGTACACCATCAGTGGATGGATGTGTTCCCCTACTGTAAACTCTCAGGTAAGAAAACTGGAGAGGATACAGTTTGAATCCCAACCAAAGGATGGGGTGGGATTTAGCAGTATTTAATCACTCTTCTCCTAATTAGGATTTGTATTTACTACCATTCAAATGATGGCCATACAATTTAATGACCTGAAATTCAAACAAAGAGATAACAGAAGTTTAATAGCTGAAATGATGGCTGACACACAAATATTTACCATGTTACCAGAGCAATTTCTCACCTTCTATGGACTCACTGTTGTCAATTCAATGACTGCAAACCTGCTCATCAGAAAATCACATGTGTAAGCAAATGATTACATACACTCTCAGGAGGTTCACAAAATAGGTATTTAGGACACTAAATTAAGAACTCTAGCTGTAGAAAAATTAATTCAATAAGAGGCTTGACAAGGTCAATGCTCAGGTACTAGAATAAGTCATGCTGTCTAGGTATAATCCTTAACCTCCATCTCAATTCAAGGCATATGAAAAGAATTCCCTTAATATGTGGCTAACWTGTTAATTAGCCCTTTTAGAGTATCTCATATACCATGAGGCAATTCAATCTTGTTGGGCTTAGTTTCTTATGAAAGCATTGAAATGGTAAACATTTAAGTACTGAATATTAATATTCTTATAATCAAGATACTAATGTCCTATTTTGAAATGCATTTTTGAGAGTTTACAATAAGTAAAGCCTTAGTTAATAGGCTGTTAAGGAAAGTTTCAGTGTTTCCTTAAAAAAGTTTACTTTATTGACATGAATGGCAAATTTATAAAAAGGTAACATGTCTTGATCTTTTCAAAATTATAACAACATTATTAAAATGAAAATTTTGTGTGTACAGTTATTTTGCTCATACTGTACAGAAAAAGGAAAGCAAATATTCACGGGGTTCTCTGGGTTTCAAGATTTAAAAAATCACAATGCCTTGACTTAATAACATGATTGCAAATGGGTATATATATAAAAACTGCAGATGTGTGTGCTTCACAACATCTCCCTTCTCTCTCATTCTCACTTTCTTCAAAAATCTCATTTATTAACAATTTGTTTACACTTTAAAAAATGCTTTCATAAATCTTACAGGTAGTTAGCTTAAAATGATTGCTTGGACCTTTAAATAAAACTAACAGTGGATTAAAAAGCAATACAAGTGCATTCAATACTGATCAATGTTTGAAATACCAAAAAAGAAGAAAAAAAAAAACAATAACCCAAATCCTCTTAAATATATAAATATTTAAATATGAAAACCTCCATCAATAGTTGAAACAAAGTGTATTTAATGGTTTTAAGGGAAAAGGGAAGTGGGCACTTTATGCCAGAAGATTTAAAAAAGACTTTTCTAGCAAACCGTGCTATGGAAAAGCCTCATATTTTGAAAATTTAAACCTAATTTGAATGAAGAACTATTTTTTAAAAAAATCATACCCACAAGTTAAAAAAAAAAAAAAAAAGGGAAAAAAAAGCCACCCGGTAATTTGTGAAGGTGCAATATGTCATTGTAGCAAATTCATTTCAAAGAAACAGGGGCTTCTTAGGCCTTAAAACTCCCTTGGTTTCCATTAAAATGATTTCAMAGTTGTTCTGTGTAACACAGGACTGGGTAATGAAGCTTGGGCCCCCTAACACCTGCTATTAATTAATTCTAACATAAGTGAGTATGAAACCTGGAAAGTGAATTGTCAACATCTGATTGATGAGGTACAGATTATCTGAATAAAATTTATGACCTGGCACGAGGAATCAGTAATCCCAACACAAGTTACTGCTTTGTAATGAATTCTGTATGGTTTGCATGTCCTTCAATAACTGAAGATTTTTCCTGCTTTTTTCTCCAGGTCTCTGTTTGGCAAAATCCTTCTTACTTGTGGTCCCTGTGACTCCAGAAGAACGGCTGCTGACATTTCCTTCTTCATCGAGAGTCTTTTTGTTAGCTCTTAATTCTTTCTTTTGCTTCTCTATCTTCTGTTTGTCTAGCTAAACCAAATAAGCAAGGTAGGGAAAAGAAGAATTTAAGGAAAACATTTTCTTCTGATGAGTACTTTTAAAATAACTCTCACATTAACAAAAACTCAAAAAATACATTCTAGGTATGTATTTTTAACAGCTTGAAGTCTATGGCACTTGTCATTTAATACTCAGTACTTAAAATATTTAACAGTATTAAAAATGAACAAAAGTACACACATCAATTCCAGTTCTTTATCATAAATTTAAGGCAGCACTACCCAAATCCAGAATAGGTGGGTTAGAAGGAAAGCTGAGGAAAGGACTTAGGAGGCAAAAAATGAGACACTGGGAAAGGAAAAATGAGAAAGACTTTGGCAGRTGGGGGAGAAGGGCATTATAGAAACTAGTGTGAGAGGCCAAGAGGCAATCTGCAGATAGATGAAAAAATGTAGTGGTAACTTAGCAATATGAAAAGGATTTTTAATTCATTTTTTTTCAAATAATTTAAAATAAAGGAGCTTTATTTTTACTCTAGCAAAACTACTGTTTGCATGTTGGTTTTTCATTAGAAAAAGCCAAGTCTGCTGTATGAGAAACATATTAGAACAATACTCTGAAGTAATTGTATGCTTTTATTTTTTTTTTTAACATGAACTTTGGAAATAGTACTTTTTTAAAAGACCACATTTTGGATCCCATGTTTGCATTCCAGTTCTGCCATTTACCAGTGAACTAGTGGGCCAAGTGCTTTAGTTTTAAGTCCTTAGATAACATTCTTAAAGCACTTTGGCACTGTGTGTATCATATCACACCAATCAATAAGTAGTTGTCAACATCTCTCAAACCACAATCTTTCATAATAAATCTCTCTCCATACTTTATCCAGCACCAAGTAGCCCTGATATTTCTATTTCTAAAACAAACATCAAATTTGTGCACCTCTGCCCAACTCCAAATACTGTCTTGACCCTGTGACAACCATTTTTGATAAGCCTAACAGCCTAAGTGAACTCAGTCTTTTAGGGCCCTGATCTCATCCCCTTAGTCTTAGCAGTCTCAGTAATCTCTTAAATACACAAATCATTGTGTTTTTCTGTGCATAAAAACCCTGAGTATGATTTCACCACTGCACTTAGTAAATACCATGACTGGTTTATGATGAAATCCATTCTAACTAAAGATAACATTTCTTTGCTAACCCACTTAATACTAATTTTAATACTCATTGTTTAATAAACTCAATTCTTCTGTAAAGAAGTGTCTCTGGTAGTTCTTTATGACCCACTTTGTGTCATTATTAATACATTTGAAGAAAAATAACTTCAGTGAAGGACAACTGAGTTACCTGGGCTTGGTATTTTCTGACTTTAGTTATTTGGTTGGCTTTTGCTTCCATCCTTCCCACTAATGCCTCAAGTTCATACTCTAAATTATCTTTTAATTCCATGGTTGGTGACTCCTGGATAAGTTTTGCAAGCTGCTGATGATCACTATATACAAAGCAAAAGGAAGACTTATATTAAGTTTCTTGTTTTATGGTTAGGTTCATTATATCTTACCATAGAGTCACTGCTGTGTGTTAAAAAAATGACTCAGTTTAACAGACTACATATGTAGAAAGGAAATTCTAGACAAAGTTCAGATATTCATCCTAACTCATTAGTAAAGTTTAAATAAACATAAATGTATATCAAGCTCTCAAAAAAATGAAATAAAACTTCAGTAAAAACCTTGTACTTCAAAACATTTAACAGAATCAGAAAAGGAAGACTTTACTCATAAGTTATATTTGTTGAATTACTAGTAATTTTAATTAAATTAATTTAAATGTTAGATTACCTATAAATTGGCTGACATAAGATTATGTTCAGTAATATTTCTTGAACAAGCAAAACTATGATTACTAAAGTAACCAAGAAACTAAAAAACAATAAGACTTTATAACTGAATATATTTTAAAAAACAAAAATTAAAACTCACAAGCTCATTTGCCCAAATTCATCCTGCAAAGTCTGTAWGACTTCTGACAACTCTTCATTAATGGTGCCGGAGGAGGAAGGTGTTACAGACTTCTTACTTTTACTACTTCGTGAAGATACAGATACTTGTTTTGCCAAAGGAACACTGTTGACTACTCGGTCATTACACAAGGCTTTACTATGTTGTTTCATCAGATGCAAGACATGCTGAACATTGGCTACTACAGCATGGCTAGGACTGGTGGACTGGAGAGAAAATTATAAGTTAATTGAAGGTACATCCTATATTTCTGTTTTTCAATCCCAACCTAGGTAAAAGTAAATCTCCAACATAAAATTTCCTAGCCTATAGTAAATTACTTAACCAAATCTCCTGGATGCAAATTCCAAAATATCTCCAATACATTTCTCTGCCTCCATCCTACTGTTATGCACCAACCTCTAACTATTAGAAAACATCCCAATTGGTTTTACTTGCTCTCATGTCATTAACATCATAGGTGTATCAGTTATCCTCCTAAAATTATTATTGTAAGTATGCTGTTTTATTTGAAATCTTTTGATTAAACCCRATGAGAAAGTCCTCAGCATGGAAAATACCACTGATATGCAACTTAAATACTCTTTGGCTTCGTGTTGTACCACCTCCTTATTTCTATTTTGTGAACAAGTCATATCTGCAGATAACATTTCTTTTGTGTAGTAACATACCATTCTTTAAGACCCAGTTTGAATACATCACTTTTAAAGGTTTTTCTAATTGCCAGGTAATAATTGGTTCATTTCTCAGATCATTCATAACACTTTCTACATATCCCTATTATAGCATTTACCACAATATAGTAATTTCATTTCATATATTTCATATCTACTTTACCTATTAAACAGTGTAGTTCCAGGTGGTCAAGATTTACTGTATTAATTTTTCCATCCTTGAACAGTAGGAAGCCCTAAATACTTATTTGTCACATAAACTACATGAAGAGGAAAACTGGTAAGCTTCTCAAATTTTGAACAATAAACAACAATCCAAATATTCTATTCCAGTTTATAAGTAGATGGCTGGGCTTGCTTGGCTCCACAAGCATCATTAGACAGCTGTTTTAAATGCAGATTCCAATGCAAGTTTCCAAACTTAATCAGCATGTGGTCAGGACTTGGAAATTTGTATTTTTAAGTGTTCAAAGTTGATTCTGATCAGCCAGCTGTGGTAGTCACTGTGCTTAGTTTCTGTTGTTAATCATCAAATTGAATGAAGTAGTATATAAAAAGAATTACACACCACATCCAAGTGGCATTTATTCAAGAAATGCAAATGTGGTCCAATATTTGTAAATCAATATAATCACTGTTTTGCTCATAACCTATTGTGCATATTCACTATTACYATGTACACTTTTTTTGGCTGTGTGTGTCAGGGATTGAACTCGGGGGCACATGACCACTAAGCCATATCCTCAGCCCTATTTTGTATTTTATTTAGAGACCCCAAGGGTCTCAGTGAGCTGCTTAGTACCTCGCTTTTGCTGAGGCTGGCTTTGAACTCATGATTCTCAGCCTCCCAAGCCACTGGGATTATAGGCGTTTGCCACCACACTCGGCCCCACATGAACACTTTCAATATACAACAAATAGATCTAAATTCTCTTGTTCCTTCTATTGTTCCATTTAATAATGTTACTTTGTGTTGAATCTAGTCATAACTGAGACTTGTATTTTATGTCCTTATTTTTCTAGTAATTCACTCTTATTATATTTTACAAAGACATTATCTAAGATGATATGTAACCAAAGATAAAAACTGGTCATTTTATCAGATAGACTGRGAAACTGTACAGTGACTGTATAATCTCTCTAGGAATCACCATTTGACCCAGCTACCCAACTCCTTGGTTTATACCCAAAGGACTTAAAATCAGCATACTACAGTGATGYAGCTACCTCAATGTTTATACCAGCTCATTTTACAATACTTKAACTATGGAATCAACCTAGGTGCCCTTCAAAAGATGAATGCTTAAAGAAAACGTGGCATGTATACACAATAGAATATAACTCAGGCTTAAGAAGAATGAAATTATTGAATCTGCAGGTAAATGTATGGAACTGGAGAATATCAGGTTAAGCAAAATAAACCAATCCCAGAAAAATCAAAGGCCAAATGTTTTCTCTGATACGCAGATGATGATCCATAATGGGGGGTAGGGGCTACAGAAGAATGAAGAAACTTTGAATTGGGCAGAGAAAGGGGAGGGGAGGGGATGTAGGGGTAGAAAGGATGATGGAATAAGACAAGACATTATTACCCTATATACCTGTATGATTACACAACCGGTGTCACACATGATGTGTGACTCTGCATCATGTACAGCTAGAGGAATGAGAGGCCCATGCTCCCATTGTTTACAATGTGTCAAAATGCTTTCTGCTGTCATGTATAAAAAAAGAATCCAAATAAAAACATCAAATGGAGAGAGCTCAAGTTGAAAAGCCCTTTCTTTTAATCTATCTGTTCTGCCTTTGTTATTAATGACTTCAATGAGAATTACCAATGACAGGCAATCAAATTTGGGATGGAATACTGAAACATATTTAATGTGAAATAGCATGAATCYATTTGTTCAAAGTTTGATTAAAAATTCTCAATGAAAAACAAATCCACAAGCAGAGGACCTAAAGTGTCAGATGCAATAGTTGACTCTATAATCAATGGTGAAAGGAATAATATGTCTTCCCCTAAAAAAAGTGAGGTGGTAGTTTGAATTAGTAGATAATTCAGAACATGACAATTCTGTTCTCTGGCAGCCTATCATACCACAGTTAGAAGGCTATATTCAATTTTAGAAGGAAGAGTGTGATGAAGTGGTAAAGAAATACAAAACCATAATTATGATGAAGAGCTGAAGAAAAACCTGAAGAACAGCCAAAGAAAATATTTTGTAGTCTAGAAAAAAATAAGGAGGTAAGAAGAGAAATAAAGCTATCTTTAAAAATCCAAATTTTCTGGTAATCAAAGATTCATTTTTCCTATRTATGGATGACTAATGGTAGAAAATAAGTCAGGTAGAATTTACAAAGTAATAAAATTCAATTCATTTTAAGGAGGAACTCTAAAATAATGTTGAGAAATGGTAAGGGCTGATTGGAGTGTCTTAGAAGTATTCAAACACAACCATTGGTTTGGATGTTTACGCAATTAAAATATTGGTGTGGAATGTTACTAAGTGGGTACCAAATTTAACTGACTAGAGAGCAGATTAAAAATAATTTTGGGCCCAATATGCTGATTATTTTAATTCAGTAAGTTTGTAGTGGGGCTTCATAATCTGCTTTTCAAAACTATGTTCAGTGTGATTCTGATGTAATTAGCCCATAAGAACTCAAAGATGCTATGGTAAAGCAAAACAAAGAGCTTGGTGAGAAGAGGAGATAAAAGAATAGGTAAAAATTTGACTAAAATATAATAAGAGATTGAATTTATGGCAAAGGAGAACAATGAAAATATTTGTAAATAATCTGTACCCCACACACCTACAAAGCAAAAGCTAAAAAGGTGAGATGTAATTCATTCTTCAAGCTTTCGCTGAGAGTTTGCTATGGGTTTAAAATAAATAAACAAGCAAATAAAATTCAAAGTAACATCTGTTATCCAAGCCTCTAAAATTGACAATCCAGGTGGATAATCAAGCCACCGAAACATGAAACAACCAATTATACAAACAAATCACAAAAAAAGTAGTATAAACTAACAAGTATTTGACAAAATTATCAACTACATTTAAGCGCTAAAGGAACCTAAGATTCAAGTCTGTATGATGATTTCTTGAAGAATCAGTCCCACGTATGGTATGGATATGAGGACAAACAGGATGTGCTATTTACTTAAACATCTAACTATATCAAAGTATAAATCAATAGGGTTGATACTAAAAATCAAATGCTAAGTGGGTGTGGTGATGCACATCCTTAATCCCAGTGGCCAAGGAGGCTGAGGCAGAAGGATTGCAAGTTCAAAATCAGCCTCAGCAACTTATCAATGTACAGAAGCCCAAACTAATGGTTTGAGAGCTTCTCTTTTCAAGGATGTTATCTACCACAGTGCAAGCCAGACTCAAAGCAGCTGGAAAGCAAAATATACTTCTTCCTTTTCTKAAAAATTCATACACTGTAAGAAAAAGCCCTAAGCAACTTAGCAAGATTCTGTTTCCAAATAAAATATAAAAAAATGGGCTAAGGAGGTGGCTTGGTGGTTAAGTGCCCCTGKGTTCAATTCCCAATACCTTCCCCTCAAGTCAAATGCTACAAATATACTATTTCTTATTTCCTTGACCCTTATCTGAAATGACATACCAGAAATGGTTTAAGAATGTGCTTTAATAACTTTTATCCCCGTTTCATTCTCATTCTTAGATTACTATGATCCACACTGGTAAATGGGAACAGATAAATGTTTTCACCACTCACAGGTATAGAGACAGATGCATGCAACTTAAACATGTATGTTGTATAAAGAAAATCTAGTTTGACCAACTCACCTTTCCGGCCACAAATGGCATATCACCCAAGCATAATCGATAATGTGGTTGCGCACCAAAATAGTTTCTAGGACCTTTCTGAATTATAAAAAAAAAAAAAAAAAAAGAAAGAAAATTTTAATTTATTCACATGAAGATAAAACCTATCTATATATTACTAACCTGAGACTTCAGCTTACTATATGGGTTACTTAACTTGCCTCACCTATACTGATATTTTATTCTTAAGCAAGTCCCTAATAAAACTTGTGAACATGTATCTTAGCCTATGAAAGGTGAGGGGAGAAAATTATCTAACAAAACAGCAGTTACAGTCTAAGTAAAATAAACAAACAAAAAGTATACAGATACATAAAGCATTTTAAGAGCAAAAGGTAATTAATGCAATACTTATTTATACAGTGTCCTATAGTTCTGAAATGTATCCTTATATATTATCTCACTATCAGGGTAAAAAGTTAAAAGTAAATATTATTTATCCTCACCTTGTGAGTGAAGAAACTGAGAATAAAAGAGATTCACTCTCCCAAGGTTGTAGCACCACACGGTTTATGAGTATTTTCACACAAATTACACCAAGTAATCAGCACTTTGCCTGACTGGTTCTGTTTTCATACCTTTTCTGGTGGTTTTGACTTCTTTTTTTTAATTTTTCTTGCACTGGGAACATATGAAGCTGCATTATCTTCAAAGATAAGTTTATTTGTTTCCAGACCAGTCTGCAACTAGGAAAAATTTAAATTTCAAGTTAATGATGMAGAAATAAAAGTTAAGATTCAAATTTGAAATCTGCCCTGTAAAAGCTCTTAAAAACCAACATTAGTATCCGACYAAAAAATACATAGCTGGATAACCATGTTTTGAGCCAATCTTAATCTTGTTCACTTTTGTTAAATTAACTCCAATCTTTCKTTTTCCCTGCACTGTATGTTATAATTTGTCCTTTTCCCAAGCTTAGAACCACAGCTCCACTATTTGTAGTTGCTTCATAAACTTCATCTAGTAAGTTAAATGCAATGTACAGAAGCCCAAACTAATGGTTTGAGAGCTTCTCTTTTCAAGGATGTTATCTACCACAGTGCAAGCCAGACTCAAAGCAGCTGGAAAGCAAAATATACTTCTTCCTTTTCTTAAAAATTCATACACTGTAAGAAAAAGGAACTGGAATTGTGTGTTCAAAAGTACCAGAAGTTATTTTAGCAAATGTTATCAAGTACTTTTTCTATAGAAGCTTGGTATCTACATTAATTTAAAATAATACATTATGGTAGAAATTCCACAGCAATTACTAAGATTTTTTTTTAAATCAATTTCCCCTAAACATTCAACATTCCTTAAAAATATATTAAAAAMCTTGTCTATAATTACGATTCTTTTAATTCTGCCTCTATCAAAAATTGTCTGGAATTTGAAAAAAACTCAAGATTACAAGGCTTCTCTTCAGATCTGATTCTGAAACTTCCTGGGTAAAGAAATTTATATTTTAAAAGTTCTCCAGAAAATTCTGATGGAATTGTAATAAACACTCAGAAGTAATGGACTGAACAAAATGAAGCAGACCATTTCTATTATTTTCCACGACTATACATGTCAGGAAAATAATCTAATCACTGACAAAAGAATACAGAGATCCCTGCCCTCAAGAGTATTTATACACTTTCACATAAACAATGCTTAATACATAGTTAATTGACTAGATGGAACATAATGAATAAAATATTATTACTCTAGAAGACTTATTGTGCCAATGAGCATGAACAGAAAACAAAAGAATTTTTCTGAATTCTTTAAAATTCTAGCTTATTTAGTTTTACCTGGCAGTTGTCTTATATTTGTGTGCCAGAATTTTAACATATTTGGGGGGTTTCATTATCACTTATTTCATCTGATCTCTCCAAAACTAAGATATAAAATGAAGATCCTTTTATTAATGGAAAAATCTAGGCTCTTATTGGTTAGCTTGACCAAGATTATACAAATTAGTATTAGCTAGACTTCAAACCACATATCATTGGTCATTGTTCTACAATAATAATGTTCTATCAGAACTCAAAACCTCTACTGATAATACATTACTCAGCAGTTAAGTGCTTTGGTCCTTACTTTTGACAGCTAAATGAAAAGGAAAGCCAAGGTATCATGAATTAATTTTTAAACTTCATAAAATAATGAACTTATAAAATTTTGTATTTCGTATATAGTGGATTCAAAAATTCATAGGTTTGCATGCTACAAGAGAGGACATGGAGCCTACCCTAAAGACAGAATAGGCAGAGAAAATTTGTTCAATGTCAAAAATAAAGCCATGGGGTTACATATCTCAGAAAGCACAATGAGAAGAAATAGATCAGTTTAAAAATTAACCAAAAGTAAATATTTGAAAATATATTAAATTAGTGCATTCAGAGAACTAGAATAGGAAACATTAATATTCCTGTAATCACGTTTATGAGGTGAGCCCAGGACACTTTGCCAGGTTGAACTCCTAATTATTTTTGAATCAGGACCCACTTCTTGTATACTGAGAAAAGGTACACATAAATGTCATCAACTTAAAGATCTTGGCAAAGTGAGAAAAATATCTGGGAGATATCTGACCAAATAACCTCAAAAGGGTAGTCTCTAGTTAACATCAGAAAAGTTTGGGCTAGGGTCACAGCTCAGTGGTAGCATGCTTGCCTGGCATATATAAGGGGCTGAGTTCAATCCTCAGCACCACATAATTAATAAAAAAAAAATTAAATTTAAAAAACACAAAAAGTTATATTTTATTGAGTTTAAGACTTACTTCAAATCTAAATCTCTAGAAATTCAGTTGTGACTGATACATAAAAATTTCTCAATGTTTTTGTGAATCCATATTGCCTCACCTATTCAACCTGGTTACCACTGTAGAAAAAAATAAAAAACTTAAAATAGGTTCATTTTCCTGATGTGGTAACTTTGTGAACTTGTTTGAGTCACTAGCTACTGGGCAACTCACTATCTTAACTGCTGTACTAATATCTTCTTAATTGTCTTACAAAAAGAAGTACTTCTGTGGTTTACTCTTTACTTTCATATTTTTTGTGAGTGCTGGGGATTGAGCCCAGGGCACCCTCACATATGCTATATAAATGCTCTGCTAATGAGCTATATCTGCAGCCCAAGAAGCGTGTGTGTGTGTGTGTGTGTGTGTGTGTGTGTGTGTGTATTATGTGTGTATGTTTTTGGCACAACCCAGGGTTGCTCTACCACTGAACTTCAGTGACAGCCCTTTTTATTTTTTATTTTGAGACAGTGTCTCTCTAAGTTGCTGAGGCTGGTCTCAAACTTTTGATCCTCTGCCTCAGCCTCCCAAGTTGCTGGGAGTATAGGCATGTGCCTCTGCTCCTGGTCCAAGAAGCTAAGAGATTCAATTATAGTTTTCAATCATTTCCTATAGTGCCCATGATACCAAAGTTTTATATGATACATTACTTTATTATGTGTAATTTGAAACATGCTAAATAGCTACTCAAATTTTCATTCTTTGTTAAAACATATGTTTATAATTTTCTACCTTAAATTATATCTGAGAATTTATATACTGTACTATTCTAAAGAGCAAATAATCTAAAGTACCCAAATACAACTGTTTATTTATATCCAGAATAGTAAAAATGTGAAGCCTACGTAATCCTATTTCAACTTACCTCAGCTGCCTTAGCTTGCATACGTTTCCTTTCCTGTTCTTCTTCATGGAGTTTTGCTTCCAATTCTTGCATTTTTTTCTAGTGATAAAAATATCAAAAAGTGTAATAGTGAAAAGTTATCTTATCTTTAAAATTTTAATATATCAAACAGGAAATGTTATAAATTTTAAGCATGGTTAATATAAACTTGTTCACTCCAATAATGCCTCTGGGCTCAGCAGCATCCATGACATACTCTTGTGATCAATTAATAGTCATTTATGAGGTAGCTGCAAAGAATTATAGATAAAACCTATAGCCAAAAACCAGAGATCTACATGAAAGTAAATAAGTTACCTTGACGCTGTTAACCTGAAACTTCACTTAGTGGCATTAAATACCTCCCAAGTGAAACAAAAKAGTGCAGAGAACAACTTAAACCAAGTGATGCAAGCCTTAAGTTACCATTTAATCTTTAAAAAATTACAAAAAGAACTTCTTTATGCCCACTAAGATTGAATATTATTCTCCAATCTTTTTTCTTTTTTAGAAACTCCTATACATTTCTTTGCCACAAGATCCCTTATTGCTATAAATATTCAGTGATATGAAATTAATTAAAAAAATGATCACCCAGTATTATGCATTGAGTAAGATACATTCACTGACTTCTGCAAGGGCCTGCATTGTGGTAAGTTTGTTATACTCCTGTTCAAGAAGATCCAGTTTTTCAAGTTGGGTTTGAACATGTGTTTGATCATGTTGTCGTTCTCTTTCTAGGGAAACCTGGAAAATATTATTATTAAATATAGTATGATAATTTGATGATCAAAAAACCAGAAATTATCACTGAGAATATCTTTGAATACACAGTATGCTTTTTGTCTAGCCTTTCAGAGAACTACTTAGATACAGAGAAGTTCTAGGAACACAACAGTAGGTTGAAACCACGGGGAATAAAATAATGATTTTATAATTTGAAGGGAATATTGACGTTCCTGTAGATTATTTTATATACATGTGGTTTTACACAGTGAGACTGTCTTTACACCTGGGACAGCAAGGATTTCCTGGACATACAGGCCATGTAAATGCACAAATAGTAAATATTACCAATTAGTTTGGTACTCTTAAGTAGTTAATCTCTTAATTAAGRGAATAATTAGAGGTTTTGTGTCTTTTTAGATTCTCTCCAAATTTCATTTAAAATGGTTTTTCTTTTTTAATCTTCTTTCCTTCAAATTTAGAGTAAGAGGTTTGAAAAGCCTGCTTTCTATATGTACTTAAGGACCAAAAGAGACAGGGTAAACCATTTACTAGGGTAAGAAGTGGAAATATAGTAAATTAAGATTAAAAGAAAGTCATAGCTAAGTACCTGAACTTTAAACACTGTATCTTCATATGCAAGTCAATGGGTAATCATACTAAAAGAACTTTGAAAAAGACAAAAACAATACAAGGTAATAATTTATCATTAATTTGTGTAAACTACTAATTTTCTTCTATACATTTTGGTGCATATCTGAGGCTCTTGAAGAATACACTAACTTAAAAATTAGCACAAACCACACTTTACTTCCAGTATTGGTGCCATTTCTATTAAACTACCTTTATTAAAAATGGTATTTAAAATTTACTTTTGAATCAACAACTATAATAAAGATATTTATTCTCTGTCTACTAGTTATCTTCCAGGTACATTAGTCAAGCTATCTCAAAGGTTTTCTTAATAAACCAATACCCTTTCCCTTTACCCCACCTGTCACAGAAATGTTAGACAAAACAGCAAATTATAATAAAGTGTTACATAGAACCAAAAGCAAATAAAGGAATACTTAAGTCAAATATCACATGAGGCAGTACAGGAGATTTGGCACGTAAGATGGGCAGGTTTTACCTGGGCAACTCACTACCTTAACTGCTGTACTGATATCTTCTTCCTGTATAAACCTCAATGATGCAAGAAAACCATACCAATATAGTAACTAAAATCTGGCCTCAAATCAGGAAAACCCATCAAGTGACAGCAAAGGCAAATGCACATCTGCCTCATAAAGGCTGCCCACATAATTTAGAAAATGTGGAATTTCCAACAAAACTCCAAAGAATATGAGTTTGCTGTAAGAAAGAAAATAAATGCTCCCCTAAAGAAAACACCAGAAGGGGGAATGAGTAGATGAACCAAAAAGATTAACTTTTGAAAACATAAAATAATTTTTTAAAAACTGAGAATTGTTTAGTGCTTAAATAGATCAAAGGAAGAAATAMAAACCATAGAATAATAATACACTAAAAGAGCAAAAATGAATGGATAGAAYTTTTTCATCCAGTTAGAAACAAAAATACTTGGTCACCATAATAAACTCAGGAGCACAGTGAAGAGATGTAGAATGTGTATGAGACATCCTTTCAAATACGGCTGTATGATTTTTCAGAAATTTCCAAGTTTGGCCTCTACAACTACAACTGAAAGCATATATACTTTTTCTCTTTTATACTGCAAAGCACCTTTCATGTCAAGCATGTAAATGAACTGTGAATAAAGTGAAGATATTCAGAAGTCATGGTGTTCATGATAAATTCAAATTCCAGTCACAGCAGGAAAAAGGGATGCTTTAAAAAATATGTTGTAGATAGAAGATGCTAACATCCTCTCACAAATGTGCAAGTCACTTAAAAATGAAAGACCTTTGGTATAACACAACAGAAATATTTTGTTAAAATAACAATTGTAAAGAGTTATAAAAGAATCATGAACCATCAAATCTGCTTCATTTGACTCTTTAAACATATTTAAGAGGTTCAGAGAGTTAAATGATTATTTACACTTTTTATAATGCAGACTATGTTACTGTGACTTTAAAATATCTCATAAGAGAAAAATAGGTCTATATTTAAATGAATTTTCTGAAGAACTGTTCCGTTCTTGAGTATCATTCTGTGAGGTGCCATACCTGTTTTTCTAAGACGGATGTCCTTTCCATTTCTGCATGCTTTATCATATTTCGCATGTATTCCAATTGTTTTTCCAAAAGATTACATTTATTTTCTGCAGCTAATAACTGGGATGTCAGTTCTAAAATGAATACATAAGTAGAAATCAGCTCACCTATAGAATAGTTTTAGCATGCAGTTAATAGGAATGGGATCTACTGTGTTTACAATATAAATGGCATATCCCAGTGGCCCTAGAAGACTTTTTGAATTACTTTGCAGTTGCCCTAGAAGCTTTTTTTAACTTTTATATGCTGGTCAAATCTACCTTATAGTAAATACAATGCATGACATCAGTCAGCACTTACTCCTTAAAATGTACCTGGAATATAATGTAATTTTGTTTTGAAGACAATGTATACTAGTAGAAAGAGCTAATTTGGAGTTTCAGAATAATTTTACAATACTTATTTTGACAGAATTTAATTCCTTCAGAATTAAACAAACCTTGATTGTGTTTTGATTCTTCATTCTTTGAATTCTCCCTTTCTTGAATCTGTTCATCCAGTACTTTCTTATACTCAATGGTTTCTCTTGACAAGGTTTTCACACTTTCTTCTGCCTGAATCCTTTCAAGTTCCAAGCGACGGATCTTATCTTGAAGATTCTTCAGAGCAGAAAAGATGGCTGCCAAGTATAAAGCAAATACCATGAAATAACAATAGGTATGAAGAAAATCACTGAAAAAATAAAAAAAAAAAATTGATGACTGGGTCCAATGGAGAATCATTCTTTGGGAACAACAAATGCTAATCATTCTTACTCAAGTTGTTTATTGGTTATTTTCAATAGCCTATAAACATGAACTTGTAAAACAATTTATTCCAATTTTAGTGTTAATTTATTCTGGTTGAATATTACATGAAATTACAAATAAGTTGAAAATGCAGAAAATTATAATAAAAATCAAGTTCATAGTATGTAGGAAATTTTTAATTCTCTCAAAAGATTTAATCTATTATGCAGTTCAATTAAGCTTAAAATAAAAGTAAATTATTAAAATATTTTCTTTGTTAAAAATGTATTGATACATAAAATTATTTAATTTTTCTTTAGGACAATTAAACACATATTTCAAAAAATATAAAATCCTTTTTATGATATCTTTTTGAGTCTCTGAAATGTTCTAAGTAAACAGTAAAAACCCCATAACTATGATAGAAACATTTCAAGGATTTTAAAATATGGTCCAAAAAAATTTGGCTAATCATGAAGAAATTCATACAACTGTCCCAAAGTACATATGAATTGTCTGAATCTTTTTTTCTGTTATTTATAGGATCATACATAGACTCTACTTATAGAGTTAAAGCAGTCAAGCATAAAAAGGACTTTCTTTAATCTGCATTTTTTTTTCATTTAAGAAAAAAAAAAAAGTAAGCACTCTGTAAACACTTTCTCAAGTTTCTGACTCTAGACAATGATACACATTCATTGTAAAAACTACAGGGAATAACTAATAATACTACTACCCAGAGAGAACAACTGTCATTTTTGGTTCTTTCAATCTTTTTCTACTTATGTAAGATAAATTGAGATGAAAATATTTCTAAATTTTGCTTTTAATTTTAGCTTTTTAAACAATGAACACTTGTTCATATAATCAGATAGTCCTTTTGATAAATAAAAACAAAAAAATTAAGTTAACTTCTTACTAAAAAAATGGTCACTTTTTAAAGACTCCTGAAACAGAATACCTTCAAAAGTRATGTCAACAATTTATACTTTCATCAGAAGTATGTCTTTGCCAACAGACTTAATTATAAAATATATGCCATTCTGATAAGAAAAACATGATATTTCTGGTTATCTGGCTTATCAATTAAAGTTTAAATATATTTGCATACATTTTTGGCTAATCTCTTTTCCAAGAATTTCCTTTATCCATTCTTATGGGAAAAAGATTCCTTCCCTCTATTTTATTGTATTCCTTTAACCCTAGTTTTAGTATTTATTGTTATTTTAATATATAGGTTTTCTGATTTTTCATATAGTTTTATCTAGTATTTTCTCAAGTTCTACTTTTTATGTATTTACTTTATATGTAGAACCCAATCTCACATTAGAAAAACTATATCTTCTTTCATTATTCTTAGTTTCATACATTTTTACATTTAAATATTARGTAAAATATTTTTATTGGAGGAATAACTTTACACATCAAATTTATCATATACTAAACTCATGCATATACCAATATATAGAGATATTATTTCTATCTACTTCCCCAAGACAGTTTCTGAGCTTTCATCTATTTTGGCATTTTTAGTATTATGAAAGTATTTTAATTATTAAAGCTTTATAAACTTCAATGTTGGCACCACCTTGCCATATTACAGACATCTTTAAAATGTTTCAAAACTATTCCTATCAATTAATTTAGAATCATTTTGCCTAAGTGTCAATTTAAATGAAAATTCATGTAAATTGTAGAAGGAGAGATGCCAGGGAGAGATGCCAACTTTTTAAGAAACAAATCTTTTTATTTAACACCAGGTACACTTTTCCTTTTATTATTGAAATTTATTCATTCACCATCATTTTTTTTTTAAACAGGCCCCATGTAGGAGACTCACAGATTGTATTATACATAGTTTACTTATTCTTGCTGGCATCATCCTCAATGAGACTACAATGTAACTGGAACAAAAGCAGACATGAAATATACATACACATACCTAGAAATCTGGGGGGAAAAAAACCCAAAACAGCTGAAAGAAGATATGAAAAGGTACAGGAAAAGAGCTCAGATATCAGTTTAACTTCCTCTGATGTCAACTAAGTTTAACCTCTTTTAAACCACTAAGGTGTGTGTATGTGTGTGTGTGTTTTAAATTTAATATGCTTACTATAGTATATACGTAAAACAGCTCTTGGGGACTGTTTGCCTAACTTATACATTTCTTTTCCTGGGAATTCCTCCTTACCTTAATATGGYTGTAATTCTGATTTATTCCTTTTTTACTTTTTCACAAATCTTGCTAATTGATCCATAGCAGACACCCAGACAATAGCTATCTTCTTGGGACTTTCATCCAAAAAGCTAAAGCTAGAATTTATCAATTTAAGCTCAATTTAAAAATATGGTGGCCATGATTCTTGCTATGTTGAAGAAGCTGGTCAACGGCAAAAGGGAACGAAGCTATTGAAAAAAATTAAAAAATAAAAAAGATGGAGTGAAAGTGCTGGGTGCTGATTATCTTTGAATCCCTAGTTCCTCACATTCTTTTTTTTAAGGCAAAACTTAGAATTTATTTGTTAAAGTGATGTAAGCCTAAATTCTAGAATAAATCAGTTTCAAAACTAGTTCACAAAACCCAGAATCATGGCTCAGAGTTTATTATGCAGCATAGCACAGCCACATATATCCAAACCAGAAATAATGCTTCCCTGGGATCCCTGGGATTTTGACTATGCTAGACAATCTGTGAAATCCACAAACTATTTAAATAAACCCCATCTTAGAATACAAAACAGGAYACCTCCAAACAGAGGATATTTCAAACCCTGAACACAAAATGGGAAGAGGCTGGCAGAGAAGGGAAAGATGGCAGCAGCCTCTGAGGAGCTAATCAGAGCTGTCATCACTCTAATTACTATATGGCTCCTTTCTCCATCACTTGCTTCATTTACTTCACCATTTTCTGTTGCTGTGCTCTTAGTAATCTTGGATGACATGCCACCCTYACTCTCATCTGCTGTGCTTTCCTGGGAATTCTGGGATATAATCTCTTCACCTTGCAAGTCCCAGCTTTTAAGACTGTCCAGCCAGAAAGCCTTTCTGCAACTGATGAGGACTAGCATGGCTTTGACTCTGCAAACTACTTAGAGCTCCAGGGTTTTTCTGAGCACATGTTTAATGAGTCTCATGTCCTGGTGAGTCTTGGAATGCCCACACAGGTGGTGAAGCAGCCTCACATCCAGCTGGAAGGTTTCCAGTAAGCTCAGCACACTGGTGTTTTCAAAAACTGATGTTTAGGAGTGACCATACATTGCTTCAGAAATGCTTCCACAGAGAGATGCCCACACTTCAAACATACATGCAGAATATGATGATTATCAAATACTTTCATAAGCTTGATGAGGACCCTGAAGTCTCAAATAGCCATGTTCCGGCAGAGGAGCTTCTCTTCRTGAATCTGCTATTGAGTCTGCTGCTGTGCTAGCCTGGAGATCTTTCACTGTCTTCTCATGTTCAGCATTATCACACAGAAAAAAAATGACAAAGGTGTGCCTTCTCAGGGAAGGGAATGTAGCKGAAGATGCACCTTTTGAAGAGTTGATCAGTTCTGGGACACCAATACTAGTAATCTCCATTATGGCTTTCAGAACATCGTCTGTGTGCTCCAGGGAGACGCAAAGTATATCATGCATGCWGCTGCTCACTAAAGAAGCTGTTCTTCTCTTTCTCCCCATGTGACCACACTGGACAGAGGTACTTTTTGGCCAGGGAAGTAATTTTTTCTTTCTTCATAGCAGGAGCTATAGATTTCTCCAAAAGTACCACTGAAAATCTGTTGAACTAAAGACCTCACTGGAAACTGAAAATGCTGGGATGAAAATTCTGTTAAGTAACTGAAACTCTGACTGACCAATTCCTCCAATGGCTGCTTGTGTTCTATTTGCTTAAGTCAGCTAGTGAGGATCTCGAGGGCTAAGTACAGTATGATTTCCAATGTGAAAAATTCCACTCCAAGCAAAAGATCCACGAAAAATTTGTAGTAGGCTCTGATAACAGGAAGCCATTATGTGGTACTCATGAGCCTTCACTCCTGGTCCATCAACTTCACCATGATCCTCAGCAACTAAGCACTGGAAATAGTTGTGTTCTCCAGATGGTTACACATCAGGTTCAGCAGTTGAACAACACAATGAACAATTTCTGGGGCAGACCTCCTATGGAAATGTGAGAATCCAATATGGTTTCCTTTATTCTTGAGAAATGGGTTTCTCTTGGTAAAGATGGTGTCAGCATATTATCTAAATTGTGGGAGAGATCTTCCAGCAAGAAATGTAGCTCAGTGGGCCCAAGCTACACAACTTCTGTAGCTTCAGTGTGCATTTCAGTATCTACGATGAATTTGGTCACAAGTTCACAACGCAGAACAGAAGGCCTCAATGTTAGCCTCTCARAAAAATACACTGTAATTCTGTAGTGACACTGATGTCTTTCCTCCCTTCCCTGTGAGCTCCTTGTCTACTGGCCTCTACCAATCAGCACAGCATCATATTCCGAATTATCTTCTTTTGCAAATGTGTCTGTCAGGGAGCGTGCTTTGTAGCCACCTGCTTTTTGTTTCCTTCCTCTATCTTATCTTTCCCCTTTTTCCTTCTTTCTCTCTTTCTTTCTGAAGCAGGAGAGCTGCTATGAGGTGTTATATCTAAAGTTTCCAAGTCAAAATTTGCAAGAGAAGGAACATAGTCTGGGGGTGACTGCCAAGTACTTTTCCAGGATTTCCTGCAGTTCTATAGTGTCCTTTAGTCGAGAGAGCACCTTGCCCTTCATCCCATGTGATGTTTGTCAGCAAAAGGCATTTGAAACCTCTTGGAACCAGTTGAGGGTAGGAAATATGAGTGAACACATGTATGAACACTCCTTAAGAGACATAGACTCTAACTTCTCTCCA